CACATTTGTATGGCTTAAACTATAGATAAAATGAATTGTTGGTCATTTTAGGAATAGATAGGTTCAACTACATTCCGGTTCACCCTTCAGTCTTTTGAACTGAAGTAGTGGTTTATTTCTAGTTTCCTGTTTAAAATTCGATTTCCAGTTCTTCAAATCTTTATTTGAAATATTTTGCATGCAGGCACTTCAAACTTTGTACTTTGAGTTAATATTAATCGAAACTGAAAAACATATTATTTAGGTAAGAAAATCAGGTACTGAAAATTGTAATTAAAAATAGGAAAATTTGCGCTGGGTACTATATACCCATGGTTAGTGTTCTAGGGTTAATTAAGTCTTGACCTCGTCGAGTTAGCTGCTATATTTCCTGCATAGCCCCAAGAACTTCACTTCTTGCTTTTTCTTACGCTAATACGACACCATACAGTGATCCTCTACTTTGATTGGCTCTTGGGCCTTGTATAGGGTGAACATTGGCAAAAAATATATTGTTAGTAATTCTACTATAAAATGTATTGCTGGTCATTTTGCTTTACAATTGTATTTTTGGTAATTTTACTATAAAAACGTATTTTTTATACTTTCATAGTGTTTTGCTTTTATTCGGGGTTTAACTATTTACCCATAGCTGGGACCCTAACAGGTGCTACCACTTCATGTCAGAGTGAATCTGGGAACAACAGCAATTAAGAGGTTGTTTCACGCTCTTCAAAACTTCCAATCTCCCGATCAGAGGCCTTGCTGCCGGATGTAGTTTATCGTCATACCCAAGACTGGATGTATTTAAGGAACGGTTAGTTAGAATGATACAATACATTCGTATTTACAATCAGTTCCCAAACACACAAGCAAAACTAGCTCACCAAATGCAGTGGAAACCAAAAATGTCACATATAAAGAACGAGCAGGGCACCTCGAAGCGGTGTAATGGTTAACAAGCTTGTCTCGCTAGAACAATTACGACTGAGTAGTGAGTTCGATCCTCATTGGGTACCCCCATACTTCCGGCCTTGTGCCACATCTAAGCTACGCTTGTAAAATCGCTTTGGGCAACTCGACCTGGTGTAAATGGTTAGCAAGCTTGTCTCGCTAGAACAATTACGACTGAGTAGTGAGTTCTATCCTCACTGGGTTCCCCATACTTTTGGCCTTGTGCCACATCAGAGATACGCTTGGAAAATCACTATAAAGGACGTACAAATAAAGAAACATTTTTCCTGTTTAAAATAAACTCAATTATTTTCACAAAAATTACACCTTTTGGAAACAGTGTGTAAGTGTATGTGTGGGTGCGTATATGAGTGCTTGTAAAGACCTGATGGTTGTTGCAAAATTACTGTCCAAGGAATAAAAAAATGGATAATGAGAAATTTTTTTTCAAAACGTAAAGCTTTTTATCCTAACATCACGTGACTATATGCTTACGAGAGGTAATCCACTTCCGCCACATATGTTACTGTTTTATTTTATTTATGCATTTTAATTGTATGGCTTTGGTTCCTACAAACTTCTTGTTTACTCAATTAGTAGAGTAAAAATAAATGAACGCTCCCACAGCATAACTTTTAAATGCGACTTCGTGTGCACATAAATTATCTTCTCTTATGTGCCGTGTCCCTTCAGAACGTTGGCGAACATGGCTCTCCACTATTTCCTGTCTTATTAAATTCTTTGTCATTTTGTTATTTTTCCTAAACCTTGTTTCGTATTCATTTATTCAAGAGCGTTAGGTTGTTTGTTTTTCTCTTGCCTTCAATCTGTCCTGTGTGTATTAAATTTTCCAAGCCTTCTTTTCTCATTAGCTGCTCTAGAAATTTCACCTGTCTCCTCCTGAAGTATAATTGACCTTTTTATTTCCAATTTTCTAAAACTGCGTCGTTGCTCAGCTGTTCAGCCTATGCTATTCCCAGCATCCTTCTGTAGAACCACATTTTTGTTGCTTCGACAAGTCTCTTCTTCATCTGTAAGGAGATTTTCGGTGGCGTAATGGATAGCGGCTTGGATTGGGGAATCGGACAGCCGAGTTCGAATTCCATTCGAATCATTTACATTCACTTACGTGCTAAATCCCTTGGAGGAGGTATATATCCTCTTCTTCAGTTATGGAGAAGGGGAAGAAAAAGAGGATTGACCGGGTTCTATAGCCTTGGATGGCAACTGGTCTACCGAAGAATGAAATGGCAATATACTGCGGGAAAAAAATCTGCCTCGTCAGTCATGTATCGAAAGATACATGATCGCCTATGCATGTATCACGCATGGCACATAACTGAATTCTCTCCCCCCCCAGCTATGGGTAAATAGCAGGACAGACCGGGTTCTATAGCCTTGGATGGCAACTGGTCTACCGCAGAAAGAAATGACAACCTACTGCGGGGAAAAAAATCTGCTTCGTCAGTCATGTATATTTCGATACATGATCGCCTAAGCGTGTATCACGCATGTCACATAACTGACTGACTCATTTGAGTAGACCCACCATTTTTAAACAGTGTTTATTTCGTCTACGCAGGTTCGAATCCTGCTAAAGGGCACATTTTCTTTATTAAGTTTTCTCGAGTGCGTAGGACGGGAAACGAAATAAACACAGTTTAAAAAACGGTTTTGTTTGGTTTGATTTATTTTGTTTTACGGCATATCAATCCCAATGGGTTATTTAATGCCGACAAAATTTTTTATTGCTGATAATATTTTGTTTTGTCAAAAATCTGTTTCTGGTAATATATTTCCTTCAAAATTGTATTGCTGGTAAAAAATTTTTTCAAAAAAGTATTGCTGGTAATAGTTAACTATTTGCCCATGGCTGGGACCCTAACAGGTGCTACCACCCCGGGTCAGGGTGGACCTGGGAACACAAGCAATTAAGAGGTGGTTCCACGCTCTTCAAAACCTCCTGATCAGAGGCCTTGCTGCTGGACGTAGTTTAACGTCTTACCCAGGACGCTTAAAAAACGGAGCGTCTACTTAAATACGGGTATCCACTAAAAATAACGTTTGAAGTAATATATGTGTGCATGTGTGCACGCGTGTGTAGAGAGAAAGTAAAAATTGGAATAGAATCCGATGACATCCGAAATATATAAGAGCATTTTGAAAAAAGAATATTCTTTACATGTTTCAACAGTGCTCTACCGTCATCAGAAATGTTTTTTTAGAGATGAGGTGCGTGTGGAAAATGCTTGTGTGTAAGGGTATAGAGAGAGAGAGAGAGAGAGAGAGAGAGTGTGTGTGTGTGTGTGTGTGTGTGTGTGTGTGTGTGTGTGTGTGTGTGTGATGAAGTGTATGGTGTATGCAGAAGTTTCCAGCGAAAAACCTTCAACTATATATTTTTTTAACCTATTGTTTTGTTAATTTTTTAAAGAGCGCTGGGAAATTTTTTGCATACACCTGATATATTCTTAACTCATTGTCTTTAACTGATTTTCGAAGTGCGACTGACATAATGTGAAATAGGTCTTCTTAATTTCTAGCCCCTTCGATATTAACTCCTCTCTCTCTCTCTCTCTCTCTCTCTCTCTCTCTCTATCTATCTATCTATCTGTCTCTGTCTATTTCTGCGATGAAGGCGATTTACTTGACCAGCTTCCCAGAACGAATCAGGTTGTGACACAACATTGTTTTAACGTGGGGAAGCCGAGCGCGTACACTCGTGCTAAGGACAAAAATTCCCCGAGTCCCCTCAACCGACGGTTACGCTAGTCTCGTTGCGAGCACCGATCCCTCTCCTTAGTGCAATGAGAGGATGCCACCTCGGGCATCTGTTTCCCAGAGCTGCACATTATTTTCCCCATTTGTGTCTCTGTCATGTGACGGAGCCGCAGGTGAGTCGTACTCTACCCGAAGAGATGATAAAATCCTACCCGGCATGTTCCAGGTAAGTAAATATAAATTTATGTGATAAAGTATTGTATTTATTTACACGATTTACATTATTTACATTGTTCGGGCTGTTGTCCTCATCTCTATTGTCATGTTCACGACGTTTTGCCCGTTATACGCTTCGGCCTTCTTTAGGTGATTGGAATTTCGAACACACTGTCTCTCTCTCTCTCTCTCTCTCTCTATCTATCTATCTATCTATCTATCTATCTATCTCTCTCTATCACATTCAGACATACAGGCACACACGCGCCTGTGCACTTACACTGTCTCTAAAGGCTTCATGGCCATATTACGTTGAAATATCGGTTCTCGTCCGATCACCGAAATTAAGCAACATTGAACCTGGCCATTACCTAGATTGGTAACCACTGGGTAACACCAGGTGCTGTAAGCTTGGATGCGAGGGTGGTGTAATGAATAAAGGCTCAAGATGAGAAATCGGAGAGTCAAGTTCGAATTCCATTCGGGTTCGGTGTATTCACTTATGTGCAAAATACGCTTGGGAAATATATGAATACACTCCCTTCTCCTCCCAGCTATGGGTTAAATAGTAAGAGTTCTATCAGAAAATCATTATTAACTCCAAAAATATTCTTACAGTTCAAATATGTTTTGGCTTTATACAACCTCATTAAAGTTGATAAGCTGTAAAAAACAAACCAGCCATTTGTTTTTATGAGATTACAATGATGTTTTTTTTTTATTTATCTTTGTTCTTTTCATTTTCTAGAGATTTCTTTATTCATTTCTGGTTCTTTTTATTTCTTCCTCCTTTGTTTTTTTTTTTTTCATTCAAATCCTTTCTTTATTTCTTTCTTTCTTTCATTCTTTTTTTCTTTCTTTCCACTCTTTCGCCTTGTTTCCATTTTTAATTTTTATTCATTCTTATTTTTTTTTTACTTCCTTCTTGCTTTCCTACTTTCTTTCTTTCCTTTCTTTCTTTTATTATTCAATTTGTTGACCCCTTCCCTTAAGCGTGCACACGCTCACACACTGGCTATTATAATCCGAACAACATCGAATTATCCTACAAGATAAATAAAATCGAAAAACCGACCTAGAAATAAAATAATAGAATTCTGGTGATTAAAACACAGAGGATAATAAGAGGTTAGCTAGGTTGTGAAGCCTCCGAAAGTAAAGTGTGTACGTATGTGTGTGTAAGAAAGAAAGAAAGAAAGAAAGAAAGAAAGAAAGAAAGAAAGAAAGAATGAAAGAAAGAAAATACTACAACCACTCCAATTAGGGAAAAGTCAGGGAGAAAAATGTATTGTAGTATATATACAAGTTAAAAATATTAGAGAGAAAGACAAAGAAAAACGAATTAGATAATGACATAAGGTTAAAAAAAAAAGTTATTAAAATAAGAGAAAAAAAGGAAAAACGAAAAGAAATGCGTGACAAATATGTAGAAGAAAAAATAGGGCAAAAATGAACGGTTTTGAAAAAAAAACGAAATCAAACAAACGAACAAACTAAAAAAAAAAAGAAAAAAAGGCATGCTAAAAAGAAAGGGTGAAAAAATGAAGGGATCGGGTCACCATGGCAATACATTGTATATATTTGGCAAAGTATGCCGAACAAGGCAAACCATTCAGGTCACAAACGTGTGACGACATGCAAAAATGGGACAAACACACGTTCGCTTTTTTTTCTTTTCTTTTTATAAACGCTTGTAGTGGAGTTTGCTCGGTGAGGTCAAAGATTTCTTTTTTTTTTATCGCGTGAGAAGTTGGCGGTGTGTGATTTGTATGTGCAAAATAGAGAGAGAGAGAGAGAGAGAGAGAGAGAGAGAGAGAGAGAGAGAAGAAAGAAAACGGGAAGAACGTGTGCCCGCATGAATATGGTCTACCCTACAATTCATATAAAAAAAAGGTTTGGACTTGTTTATAGCGAAAGAGTTATATGTAATTATAATACATTTATATTCCACTTGGTCGACGATAACGCAAAAGAAGCAAGTGTATGTAAAACACACACACACACAAAGTTGCCGATAATCTTTTCAGAGTCTAGAGATTATTAAAACTTCTCTTTAAGAACCATTTCGCTTCTCAGTATGTAGGTGATCATGACTCCTTCCTTACTGTACGGCTTATTCTTTAGGTTTTAGCTTACCCATAATGCCCCTGACGACAGGTTGAACTGACATATTTTGTTTTCATCAACTAAAACTATAATTACAAACTACAATGTCAGAAAGCGAAAATTTCACTGAAATGTGTTGGAAAATTTTCACTTGAAACTAAGAAAATACGAACTTTCAGCAAAATGATTCCAATACCTGGGAAAAAAAATAGTTCGGTTAAAAACTGTGAGAAGGACAATTTAAAATCATTTGTAACGCATTCTTATAGTAAAATAACTGGAAAACATTTTTAAATTAAAATAGTTCGTAATACATTCCTATAATAAATTTTTTGTAATTATTCTTCTTAAAAACAATATCCTCCTGAAGTCATCCTTCTTTTTCCTATACTTTTAAGCATTTTAACCCCAAGCAATGCGGGAGTGCCACTAACACACAAGGGGTTACGGAGAGTGAGAGCAAGAGTAAAGAGGGGGTGTTTGAGGAAAGGATATAGAGAAGGACGGGGATGAGGATCAAGGCATCAGAAGATGTCGATTGACATTACATTTCAATATTTGAAGATTATAGCTATCAGGGAAGCAAGTAAGAGGAAAGGAATTCCACTGTCGGAAATTGCGAGAGAAAAAGCTAGAAGAGGCGGTTACATTTAACTGTTTCGACAGTGAAACGGTGGGACCGAGATGCCAACCTAGTAGCACGCTTAAATTCATGCAGTTTGGGCACCAGTGAAAGTAGCTCGTCAGAGCAGATGCCATGAAAATAGTTGTAGAAAAGACAGAAGGAGGCCACAGCACATTTGTGAGAAAGTGACTGTAGACCAGATGCAAGATCAGGACCTATCACATTGCATATCCGTCTCTGGATTTTGTCGAGGACCTCGAGATGAACAGCGGGGGCACCAGCCCATATATGCCAACAGTATTCAATACAAGGAAGAATGATAGACTTGTAGCTTTGCTTATTTCATCCACCAGTGTAGATTGCTCTAGTTCCAGGTGTCATGCCTCTTCTGGATGACTCAGTTATTACCATTTGACTCAACTCTCCAAGTTTTGGTTTACCACTGCTGTGGCCTGGTATTGAACTCGCAACTCTTTGGGTCTAGTCACTGGATCTAACCAACTACTTTATCCACTGGGTCATGTGTCCTTGTGGGTTCGGTTCGAAATTCCAATCACCTGAAGAAGGCCAGAGTGTACAATGGCCGAAACGTTGTGAATACGACAATGAAGATGAGGACAACAGTTCGAATAATGTAAATAATGCAAGTAATCATAATACCTCATCTCAGAGATTCAATCATCTGAAGAAGACCGGAGCGTACAACGGCCGAAACGTTGCGAATATGGCAACGAAGATGAGGATAACAGTCTGAATAATGTAAATAATGCAAGTAATCATAATACCTTATCTCAGAGATCCAATCACCTGAAGAAAGCCGGAGCGTACAACGGCCGAAATGTTGTGAATATGGCAATGAAGATGAGGATAACAGTCCGAATAATATAAATAATGCAAGCAATCATAATACCTTATCTCAGAGAGCCACTCATCTGAAGAAAGGCGGAGCGGACAACGACCGAAACGTTGTGAATATGGCAATGAAGGTGAGGATAACAGTCCGAATAATGTAAATAATGCAAGTAATCATAATACTTCATCTCAAAGATCCAATCACCTGAAGAAGGCCGGAGCGTACAATGGCTTAAATGTTGAGAATATGGCAATGAAGACGAGGATAACAGTCCGAATAATGTAAATAATGTAAGTAATCAACATACCTCATCTCAGAGATATAGACACAAAATGTTTGTTTATTTCTCTTTCTTTTGAGGTGAGAATATAAAAAATTATATAAAAAATGCAAATTAAATAAAGGATTAATGAAAAAGTGAAATTAAAAAAAGTAAATAAACATTAGTATAGTCTAGGTTTCTTCATTTCACTTGCTTTTAAGAGAAGTCTTTAGAATAATTAAAGAAATTAACAAATTAACTAAAAAATTTGATGTGAAAAATCTGTACTTTAAATTTTTTAAACATTGGCTCGAAAAGAAACCGCCAAAAAATATGTCGGTCAAAGGGTCCGCCTTTAAAATTTAAAATTCAATTTTCAAAAAGAGACACACTTTTTAGTTTTTGACCAATGAGGTGGCTGACTTCCACACAAGCAAATATAAAATTTTGCTCTCATATGAGAGCCTATTTCGGACTATATAAGACGTTCGGTTATGTGAGAAAACTCAGAAGGTTACAAGTAGGTATAAGCTGGGCCGGCGCAAGGGCCATGTGGCCCACCCGAATCTATGATAGAGGACACCTCACCCCGCACTCTACTACATCTCAAGTAGTATTCATATGAAATAAAAAAATTTCTCGTAACCTAATTATATACAATAATGGATCATATGCAATATAAGTGAATTAAACTAGAAAATTTGGAAATAAATACATTGTATTTTTTTTTTTTTTTTTTTTAATCGATTCACTCCAAGCAAGGCGGGAAGCCACTAGTACGCAAGAGGTTACAGAAGATTTTGAGCGAGAGCAGATAGATGTGATAGAGGAGAAGGATAGGGGATAGATCAAGGCAACTGAAGATGTCGATTGACATTACATTTGAATAGTTGGAGATTATAGCTGTCAGGGAAACAGGAATAGGGAAGGGAGTTCCACAGGCGAGAGGTGCGAGATATGAAGCTATTGGAGTAGAAGAGACGGCTACATTTAACAGTTTCAACAGTGAAAGTGTGAGAGCGGGGTGTCAGCCTCGTAAGGCGCTTGAATTCATGAAGTCTGGGAATCAACGAAAGCAGCTCATCGGAGCAATTACCATGAAAGTATTTGTAAAAAAGACAGAGAGAGGCGACGGCACGTCTGTGAGAGAGCGACTGCAGACGAGATGCCAGATCAAGGCCAATTACATTGCATATCCGTCTCTGGATCTTATCAAGAACCCCGAGGCAAACAGAAGGGGCTCCAGACCATATATGGCAGCAATACTCCATGCAAGGGCGAATGGTTGATTTGTAGATTTAAAGGAACGATTCCGGGGAGAAAAATTTCCTGGCGCGGCACAAGGAGCCAACTTTCCTTGCGGTGGACGAAGCAATTGACTCAATGTATTTGTTCCATCTCAGGTCAGCAGTCAACGTGAGACCGAGCAGCCGCAGAGAGGTGCTCTCGATAAGTCTAAATACAAATTAGAGACATGTCATAATCATTCCATCTTCAATAAACCAACAATCCTTTGCTGAAATTTTTAACATCAACATGAGATCTTTTTTCGTTAAAAAGAATAATTTTAGCACATTCAACATAATGGATATATAGTGGATTATCAGTTATAGTGAAGTGTATGCGCGTTGAAACATGTTAGTTTGATTTGGCCTTGTTAGTTAGCCCGCCATAAGAGGAGTATAAAACAAGAAAATCAAATTGAAAAGTGAAACAACAAATTTATATACATATAAATCAATCAAGGTCTCTTCAAATAAAATTAATGTATTTTGGTTGATACAAGGTCGGCAAAATCTTCGTAATAGTCCTTGTAAGAATGAGTTTATGCGTACATAGGCAGGTGTGTGTGTGTATGTATGTATGTATGTATGTATGTATGTATGAGCGTTATCGCAGGGTAGGAATGTCTTTGAAGCAATCGTTCGGTCTTAAAATGGTCCGTTCGTTTATCAAGTATAAAAGAGATAGCGGAGAAAGGTAGTTATAATAATACGTTTGTCAAGGGACGTCAATACGCTCGTCTCCTTCTCTCTGGTGACAGACGAACTTGCCCGTCTTTTATTTTGTTTGTGGGGCTTGAAAAGGTCATTTGGGAATTCACTCCCGGATATGATCCGGGTCTTTCCATTGGACCTCGAACAAACTTCGCGTCGGCTCGCGAAAAGGTCCGTAAAAGAATTTTGTTTCTGAGAATTGAAGATTATTTGAATTTTGTTTTTAAATGTTTCCTAGTTTTCTATTGGCCGAAAAAGATTTCGCATCAAGGTGTGAAATTTCACGTGTTTTGTTTTGGATTCGCTTTTGCGTGTGTGTTAAGCAAAGTTTGTAAATTCGAGTCTTTTTAATTTCTAGCAAAATCAATGAGTCAGTGTTTAGCAGAATTTTAAATCTAGATCTTGTTTTGTTCACTACAGATAAAAAATAGCGAATTTTATACAGTGCTTTTTCGTGACTTAGTATGTTTAAATATATTCACGATTTCATCAGTCGAGGAAATTATTGCTAACCCGGATATCTCATCTCTCATTGTAGATCGTAGATAATTTTTTATAAATTTTAGTTTGCTGAAACATCTTTCGGCACTTGCAACAGTCACTGGTGTAGTAAGCAATGCACGCAATGCAATCTACAAGTTCGGTTAACTATCAACTAAATGATTCCGAAAAATATAATGTAAAAAATCACGGACACTTTCTCACTCACTTTTTTTTTCTGTTCCTAATCCCCAATTCACGTTGCTGAATTGAGGCAAATCTCTTGATCTCGTGGAGCAATTCTCGTTTAACGTCACTTTCTTTTTTCTTTTTTTTCGTAGACTCGTTTGTACTACTCATTTACCTTTTTGCTCTTCACTGCATTCAACAATGAATCTGAATTCTGAGTGAATTCATAAAACTAATTCTACTGGAATAACTGAGAAAACCGAGTAATAACTGAAGACAAACGTTGATCTAAAAGATAAGTACAAAAGTGTTCAATTAAATTAAAGTTTAATTAATCGGATGTGAATAGTACTTACTTT